AAGGGGCGGTCACAGTTCGTGCAAGGGAGCACTTCAAAAAGTGAAGCCAAAGATGTTCGTCAGGAAGTACGTCGGGACGTACGACAAGGAGTACGGCAGGAAGTTCTACAGCGCGTGGCTGTGAATAACAAGCCGAAAGGAGTACATCAGTGCAGCAACATGAAGGCCAGACAGGAGGTTCTGAAGCATGGTTGTGCATATGGTACAAGGAAGGAGGCTGATCGGTGCATCAGCAACTGTGTCAGGCCCAAGAAGAAGCAACATCGGATGTGCTGCTGGTTCTGTGGGAAGGTTGGACACAAGAAGGTGGAGTGTTTTGCTCGTGAGAAAAGCAGAAACATGGCCAAGAAGGTGAACAAGACGTTCACTAAACCCAAGGGGGTTGAAGAGGTGTTCTTAGCCAAGAGTGGCTTACTTGATGAGGTCAAGAAAGGGACATCAGAAGAAGGATGCAGCTCTGGTAGGAGTGATCTTGAGGAAGATCAAGAAGCATCAAGTCTGGAGCCAGGACACGGAGTTGTTTGTGGTTCAAAGGGGAAGGAGATCGAAGTGCGTTAGGAAGTGATGCGAGATGATCTTCAGGAGGGTGATAGCGAAATCACTCCAAGACAATAGCAACGAGTGCAGAGAGCACTCGGTATGGATGAGGAGGGGCTCATGGTCAAGGAGACGACGCATGAAGGAAGCCAAGTCCTCAACAGAAGTGGGTCGAAAGGTAGTTCGACAGGTGCGTCAGATCATGATGCAGTACTTGTAATCTATTCCGCTGCAGCAGGGGCTGTATCATGATTACTGTGATGGAAGGCTTGACATCTAAGCATCTGTATTTTAGCTTAGTATGCAATCAAGCAGGGGGAGAAGTGGTGACGTTTTAGTCCAAGGAGTGCATATCTCATGGGGGAGAAGAGCATGGTGATGGACGTCCTGAAGTAGATGGTGCTTATCTCATGGGGGAGAAAAGCATGGTGTGGTGCACATCTCGTGAGGGAGAAAAGCACATTTGGTATGGAAAGTTCCAAGTGAGGAACGTGGTTGTTGAACCAGAAGGATGTTGTGCTTGATTGGCACACAAAGCTAAAAGGGGGAGATTGAAGATGTAAAATGTCCGCCCTGAAGTAGTCGCTGACGTAGTTGCTGAGGCAGACGTCGTGTTGAGTGGTGAAGACCATGTGGAGTCAAGATGCTGAGCTGGAGTCGTGTATACTTGGAGAGCAAGGGTGTATCTTGGAGAAAAGGCAAAAGGAATAAACTTGAGGAGCAAGTTTATGACTTAAAGAAAGAAGAATAAGTGCATTTCAAGAAAAGGAAAGTTGCACTTAATGTTATGGAAGATGTCCATATTGTGTTCCTTGGAGACTAGGGTTTCAGGAACGTGGAGAATAAGTATAAGACAGCAAGGGGGTCGTCTGTAGAGAGACAGAGACACGGAGGCTAATCTTATAGAGAGAGAGAGAAGCTCTTAAGGTGTTCTTGGGTCGTGCTGAAGCAGAGGCTGAAGTACTTGACGGCAGAGAGACATAAGTGAGTAGCTTTGGAATCTTTCAGTGACGTGTGTTAGGGTGTTAACACTAGACGTGTAAAGCTGAATAAACAAGGTCTTGTAAAGATTGTTTAAAGAAGATTTGAATAAAGCTATTGGTGTTTTGTCTCTTGATTTACCTTCTGTACTACCTTATTGTGGTGTCATCTTTGCACTTACACTCCCAACAGTAGTGATCAGATTGTCCATCTCCAACTTGACCCCATAGAACATTAGGCTGAGGATGAGCCTTGATGAAATAATCAGTACCCCATCTGATTGACCATAATGTCTGTTGCATTTGGTTCGAACCGGATAGCTCTTTCTGGTTATCAACCGCAGCCCACGATAGCATTGTTACTGCGAAAGCCATTGGTAAACCGAATTTCACATGGTCTCCTGCATCATAATATCCTCCCTCCAAACTCACCTGTTCAATCATATATAACACCAACCTCAATATCATTATTTACAAATACAAGTCACTATTCTTACATTTTAACAATAAGTGTATTTTATTGTTATAATGGACTTACGCCTTGAGCAAGACCATCCTTGAGACCAGAATGGCTACGCCATTTGACACGTTGAGCAGCTGGCAACTTCCCTGACCGTTGAGCCTCAAAGAACAAGAATGTCTTCTCAAGGGCATTTCCGTAACTGTAATACTCCGCTGCTGCGGTGGCTGCTCCGAGAAGAACGGTCAGTAATATGCTTACGCCGAGCAAAGAGCCACCAAACTTACTCATATCTCTGGATCAATAAAACTATAGGTTTACTTTCCCAAAAATGTTCTCTGTTCAGAATTGTGATGTAAGTGTATATATATAGAGAGATGTTGTGTTTGTCAGCTTGGTGATAGAGAGGAGTGTAGAGAAACAAATAGGTACATAGTTTAGTCTGAATAATCATTGTAATTGTCTTTATTTGTGTTCGTGTGTTCTGTGCGTGTTCGATAATAGTTGTGGCCTTCACGTTTTGTTAGAGCTTCCCACGTTGTACTTTAGGCTTTTGTGCAGAAGCTAAACCAACATTGACTTGCCACGTGTATTTATTGGTAGCCGTTTGACGAACGTTACATATATACTAGGGTTCTTCAACCCCACACAAGCACGGGGTCTGTAGGTGTTGTATATCCCAATAATATAGATTTCCAAGATTCTATATAAGTACTTTTGTAACATGTATAGATACTGCTTAAGGTCAAAACTCATTGGGGAAAAATATGTAATGTTAATGTAAGAGAATCAAGCTATATCAACTAGAACACACAGTAGTATAGGGACAATTCTTCTCAAGAAATACGACTAGATTAATCCTTTTAAAAGTAGATAAAGTTCTTTATAAAAGTAATCTTTCAAGCAAGCTCAAGACAAACCTTAACTTGTTTGACTAGCCTTAAACGTTCACAGACCTATGACAGTGTCTGAACTACTTAAACTTCTAACCCCTAAATGCTTTGTCTCTCCTTTTTCGACGTAGAAAACTTATCTTGCTAAAAGCTCTCTCTGTGTGTTGATCTTCTTACAACTCCTAGGCCTCCTTTTAATATGCGGAGACACCATAGGTTTGCAAATTTAACCTTGATGGAAATTTTCCACTTTCGGTTCTTCAGTGAATAAGTCAATCTCCTTTTCTCCAAGATTCAATTGATTCTTCCTCAAGTCTTTCCTTTTTAATCGAGACTTCATTAATTCTCTTATTAATACACCATCCAGAACTCGTGCTTCTCTCAACCACTCGTCTTCTAGTCGTAGTTCATGTCGCACTTCATGAACTACTTTGGTACTGTTACATCACCGTCTTGACCATACATATTCAATCTCCCCCTTTTTAATTCGTTGTCTCACAAGTACCTGAAATAGAATACCACGAAGAAGACAACCATACCAATAACAAAATATCCTGCACTCATGAGAATAATGGCTGAGATACTCAAGACCGAAAGCATACTTATATTATCCTAAATAGAGTCTGGAGCAAATAACAATACATCTTAACAAAAAGATAGTACATAAAAACAAGCTCCCCCATAAACCGAGAATGTCTGAAACTAATGATAACATAAGGTTTGCAACAATTTGTGCAACCAAAATAACCACATAGACATAAACTGCTCCCCCACAAACTTATATCCTTCTACCACTCATTCTTCATCAGTTTCTCCCCTTGCTTGTGAGCACACGGATTAAAAACACAAGTAAGAACAAGGAAGTAATTGAAAAGGAAGAGAGTTCTAACATGGAACCGAGTTCTGAAGCTCCTGAACAACCTTTACCAACGTCTGAAGAACCCGAGTTGTGTCCTTTAAGGCTGACTGCAGATCTGCCCTAGTGAGGACACCCTGAGGAACAGCAATGGAGCCCAGCTCGTACACAGAAACTCGGTGTGGTCTTGTTCTGGAGCTTGGTGTAGGAGTTGGTGAAGCAGACACTGGCAGCTAAGATGAACGCACAGACTTCCTCACTTTACCTTCCTCCTTTACTTTTCCCTTAGCCTTGCGCTGCTCGTAAATCTCTCCCACCCTTTTATCCTTCTTGTAGGAAATTGCATGATCATTTTTAACATCAGCATGAGATGGTGCCTGGTGCTGCTTCTGAAGGAGCCCCATGATCAGCCGCGGAAAGATCAACCAGCGAGAATCATTCTTCTGTATAACTGCCATATTCATGATTTGCTTGTAAATCACCTTTCCCATGTCTACTCGGATTCCATGAGCCATCTTGTATATTAGTCTTGCTCTGTCAAATGACACATGCGTCATGTGTGTAGATGGAATCCAATTGTGAGCAGCAATAATCATGAGAGCTCCATAGCACGGTGTCAGATCAGCTGTGGTGAGATGATCCCATTCCTTCCCAGTGCCATTAGTGAGAAAATCTGCTAACTAAGTGGCAGATGCCTCGTCCATTGTAGCTTCAATCTCTTCTTCCTCATCAGTGAGTGAATCAAGAGCTAGAGTCTCATTGATCACTGTCGGGGAGAACTTGTAGGAATGAGTGCGAACATTGACAATCACTTCTTCAGTGTCAGCTTCCACCTTGGTACCAGGTAACCCTGCATAGAACTCAGCCACAACTTTCTCAACGAAAACACCAAGAGATGATACAATAGATTCCATTGAACCTTTCTGAATAACCGCAAGATAGCCCCATTGATCTGTTTCCTTCATATCAACCAATCTCTCAGCAATCATCTTACGCTTCAGGAACATACCATACCTCTTCTTGATCTCCACTGGAATGGTATCAGCACTCTTCTCAACAACCCTCCTGGACTTACTCTGAGATGACACAGCTGTTCCCTTAGGCAAGGAGAGAGACTCACTAGTCTCTTGGTGTGGTGCACTTGAATCTCCCGTCTTTTGTTTCTTGGAGGAACGCAACCCCAGACGCTTCAAGACACGCTTTTTCTTACTGACTTTCTCAGTAGTGTCTTCAGAGGTGGAACCTAGAGAGATGATATCCTTTTTTTGGTCTCTATCCTGTTTTTGCTGACCTGACTCAAACTCGGCTTCACTAAGATTTTTCTCTTGAGCCAGATCAGTCTCTTTGTTCAGAACCACCAACAGAAGAGGCGACTCATCACTATCCTTCAGATCTGCTTGCATCGCCGNCTGACTTTCTCAGTAGTGTCTTCAGAGGTGGAACCTAGAGAGATGATATCCTTTTTTTGGTCTCTATCCTGTTTTTGCTGACCTGACTCAAACTCGGCTTCACTAAGATTTTTCTCTTGAGCCAGATCAGTCTCTTTGTTCAGAACCACCAACAGAAGAGGCGACTCATCACTATCCTTCAGATCTGCTTGCATCGCCGAGTCATTTGTTGAGGTTCGTTCTTCAGGATCCTTTGGAGATGTTGGATTCACAGCTTTCGGGACATGCATTATCTCATTAACTGCCTGAGGTGGATCTACTACAGGAGCAGAGGTTCCTTGATTGTCACCGCTACTTTTGGATCCGGTCTTCTCGTGAGCCGTATTGAATGACTCAATCTCTTCAGTTACCTCTGGAAGAGTTGTCGAGACTGGTAGATTGTTCAGTGGAGGAGTTGGCTCAGGTGGACCATCGAAGAGTTGCATCATGTGTGATTCAGCCCCTGCATGGTCCTCGATCTTGGAGCTCAGGTTTTCTTTAGCTGAGTTTGAGGATTTGCCCATCTTGATTTCGGTTGCTTTGTTTGAGATGGAGAGAATTTGGCGCAGGAGGCGATTATAACAAGCTTCTTGAGCACGATGGAGGTTTTCTAGAGTTGTGCCCCACCAGTAATTTCCTTAGGTGAAACAACCGTCTTGAAATTTGCACTCCTGGTCCATGACTTTTACTCCTCTCGCATATATACCTACAACTTTTAATGTCTCCCATCCAAACACATTAAGCTCAGGCACATTCGTGAATTAATATTGTATCATTAGACATTCGAAGTAGTAATGTAACACGCATCACCACTCACAGTTGACTGATTAAAAAAAAAACAGTTTACCCATTTTTGTGATGTGCTGCAAGAGATGGCTCCGTACTTAATTCAGGTTGCACATACAATTCTTCTAGATTGTGACGATCTGGTGCACCCAATTTTCTTTTTATGGCTAGCTTTCACATTGTCATGCCTTCATCAATCCTGCAGGTTTTCAACCTTTATTCGTGCGCTGTGAAACTCCCATCTTTTCATGACTATATGACTTTTGTTGTTGTACGTCATTTTATTCAGCTGTTCTCTTTGAGATTTTCAAACTGTTTCCCTTTTTTTCGGGGTAAAGGAGCCACAGATTGACACAAAACCTGTACCTTACAGAATTGACGGCAAGGCAAGCAGCTCTTTTCCATAGCGTTCTCAGGTTCCAGACAAAATCTGAATCGTATGTACACCCTGAATCTGTACCGGTGCTAGTCTCTGCACAACCTGACTCAAAGATCAAGGTTACACATACCAATTGCATTTCTCAATTTAATAAAGCGATTAAGTTCAAGTGATTTTGTGAAAATATCAGCCAACTGCATGTCGGTAGCTACATGTTCAATTACTACCTGATTGTCTTCAACTTGGGCTTCAAGTTGGCCAAATAAATCTTGCTCATTACGTTCTGTATCGATCGATGGTACATTGCGTACATCGATCGATGGAGGATCTCGACTTCAACTTCTACGGAAGCATCATCGATCGATTACACAGGGTATGTATCGATCGATATGTGTCTCTTATATCGGATCTTCGTAGTCATCTTGGAAAACTCTTCTTTAAGCACCAAAAGGCACCTAAATCATCACTTTACCACAAAATGCTCTTGAACCTGAAAACATACCTAATAGACTCCAAAACATAGACAATTATAATAAAAACATATAGAAAATATGACCAAAAGCGGGTCAAAATCATGGTCTATCAACTTGCGAGCTGGGGGGCTAACTGTTGGTGTCAAAAACGATAATCTCGAAATCAACGTCGACGATTATTTCTGTTGAGATCAAAATCGTTATTTTCAGCAAAAATAAAAATACATTTTATAAAAGACGAGAAGTTGTTTTATAAAATGCTAAGGACTTTCCGAAACAAAGGAAATCCGCAGAAAAATTGGAAATCGTCATCTCGGAACAACGAACAAAACAATTGCCGATTACACAAGTGCCCAAATTAAGCGAAAAACCACATCCGCCGTAAACCACGAGCAAGTTCGACTTTCGGCTTGTCGTACGTGTTCGACGTACGACTAGCCGAACCAGCCGGTTCAGCTCGCCGTACGGCGAGCTGGTCGCCTCAAAACAGCTCGCCGCACGGTGAGCCAACCGCACGGCGAGCTGAACCAACCCGGTTTGGCTCACCGTACATCGAGCTGACCGTCCTGAGCGTCGATCTCCCACGTCTTTGACGCAAGGCATACGTCCTTCGGTTCGATCATTATCTGAACCATGGTCAAAACGTCTCTCATTTCGTCTCGATCCGTCTTACCGTTTAAGTTTTACGATAAAAATCATAAAAGTCTTCTTTTCTCGTAAAGTTCGAGAAGATCGTATAAAACGGCAACGATTAGACGAAACATCGTGCATTGTCAAACTATACGATCAACTCGAGAAATCTTATAAAAACGGCATCGTATCAGGAAACGTTCTCGTCCATGACCTCGGGAGAATTAGGGTTTTCCCTAAGTTTCCATATTTGACGGAAAATTGACAGTGCGAATTTCGGTTCCCATAAACGGATCTGGTTTATCAGGGGGGACACCCTGTACCGACTGGAACACATCTCGGAAATCAGACACCAACGAATCCTCCAGGTCTTCCAGACAGACAGATTTGTCGGGCTCTATGGTGGTGACTGTGGCCAAAAGGACTCACAACCCTCTTTCAACATCCGTTTCATACGGACTGCTGATACCACCATATTTTCTTGAGCCGGACACAGACATTGGTACTGGATCGGGGGACTCCCAGTCTCCGATTGCACACAACCCAAATGGCAATCGAGAGTGGCCCGATTCTTTCCAAACCAGTCCATACCTAAGCTTACCTCATGATTCTTTAGGTGGACACATACCAGATTCACAGGGAATTCCTTTCCATGGATTGACACCGGGATATTTGACATGAGGCCTAGTGAGTTCATGGCTTTCCCTCCGGCTGCCCTCACTATCCTTAACGTCCAGACAGAACAGACTCTTTCCGACCAGTTCCGGACTCACAAAACTATGTGCAGCCCCTGTGTCGAAAAGTATGTGGGTTTTAACTCCACCAACCATGAGGATCCCTAAAAGCGACCCTCATCAGAATCCACTAGATTTCTTTCTAGGTTCCAAACCAAACATTCTATTGAATGTACAAATTTAAGAACTTACCAGAGATTGAATCAAATGATCCAGAAGCGCCATTGTCTCGAAATAGCTCGTACACCCTTGCTGTTGTGGTCGGCCTGTTATGGTTTGACTTGCCTATTTTTTCATGACCCTTCCCTTGCCCTCCTTGCAGCTGAGGAAACTCCGTTTTGTAATGCCCACTCTTGTCGCACTGGAAGCAAGCCACAGAGCCGCTTCCACCAGATTGGTCTGAAGGTCGAGTACAGTTTTGAATCGTATGATCCATACTGCCACATAGTACATGATATCACTCAAATGTTTAACCCTAAGGAGTGAATTACTCTCTCAAATAAGAGGTTCAGTTGTAGTACTTAGGGATCGAATCCACATGGAACTAAGGAACACAATAAATGTAATCCTAAGTGATTATGCTAGGTTGATTAAGTACAATAGTAAATTGTAGTTTGTGAGCAATGGTAAGTTGCTCAAGAGAATAGGTTTTGTTTAAGACAATAAAAGAAAGTAGTTAGATTCAAGGTTACTATTCAGATAATCAGGATTATAATGCTACAGATGTTTTAGTGAATTGCTTGCAAGATATATAAGAACTTCAATTCTTAGACAGATCTAATAGCAGTCACTAAATAGACTCATCCATTGATCTTATTGCCGGCAATAACGACCGATGTTTTGACAGCGATATCGGACGATATGGGTTGCCGTCGATCGATGACTCTATAGGAGTATCGATCGATATAGCATAAGATCGAATAAAAACTGTGTTCACCAAGATCATAGACCGGCTCTCCCACATTTTTAGAGGATATAAGCTTATGCCAAATGATTTCGGGACAATGATTAACAAGTTAAATCACATCCATGATCATACTCTAGGTAGGTACTCTAGAGTAAGCATTAAGGTTCATTTGGATAATGAATATCAACAACTCAACATTCCATAGTTGGGGCTAATCCCTCATAACTATTTGAACCCTAAATCTAACAAAGAAATCTACTCAGATATAGCTAAGAGATTCGTAACAGCAAGGTAATAATATAAACTCATTAGATTAGAAGATTGAACTTTTGGTTCTTGGAATAACAAATCTCTTTGTGTGTTTCTTCTAAATCTTAGAATTCTATAACCTTTAAGAATTAAGATCAAAAGAAATAATTTATTGCTAAGTATATAATAGTATCAAAAGAACAAAAGAACTTGAAAGGATTCAAAAGCATGCTTTGCCAAAACACATAGGCATAACTATAAATATGAGTTCCATTAGGTTAAAAACTCGCCAGGGGCATTATTGTAATATTGGGAAAACTTGGGATTCAAGTCGGCCAAGTCGGACTTGTTCTCCACGCTTCATATCGATTGATGGTTCATGGTGTACATCGATCGATGGAGTATCTCGACTTCATCTTCTATGGAAGTGTCATCGATAGATTACACAAGGTGTGTATAGATCGATATGTATCCTTGTTGTCTGATCTTCATAGTCATCTTGGAAAACTCTCCTTTAAGCTCCATAAGGGCACCTAAATAATCACTTTACTCCAAAATGCTCATGAACCTGAAAACATACCTAATAGACTCCAAAACATATATCAAACTTATAAAAACATATCAATACCATGGCTAAAAGCGGGTCAAAATCATGGTATATCAACTCCCGCAGACATAACCTTTTGCTTGTCCTCAAGCAAACCATTAGTCTCTTTTAGAAGAAGTTTTAAAAACAGTAGGGGCTAAATAAAATCTTAGCTTTAAAATCATTACTTCTACTTTGTTGCAAGCCACATCTCATATTACTAACTACAGAAGTACATCATACCATATCGTAGCTTAGCAACCAAATTCATCTAGCCAATCAACTTAAACAATCCTGTCTGTCTATCCCCTCTACTGATTTCATTTATGCATAAAATAAAGGTGTAGGCTTTACCTTGGGAGTATCGATCAAAGAACACTTTGATTCAACTCAAACAAGTTTCAGGCATTCTCATTCTGGTTCCTTTTCTCTCTTTTTCCCCTTTCTTTGAATCCCAAACTTTCTTTTCTTTTATATCAATCCCAATGAACAACTAATGTTCATCTTATTGATCTTTCAACTTTTGTAGTCTCTTTTTTTTTTTGACAAAGTGTAGGCAAATAGTGGGGTCATAGGTAATTTACCTCTCCCTCGGTTCCACAATGTGTGATCATTCCTTTGATTTAGAATAGTGGGGTCATTGGTAATGTACCTCTCCCTCTGCCTCTCAGGAAATCATCTCAATCTTTTATTTTCTCTTTATGGGATGCCAGAGGAAGGAGAGAAAGAAACCAAATTTTTTGAGACTTTTACGTTCCAGACTTGCATGAGGATTCCGATCCCTTGTATACCAAGCCCCAAGACAAGCAATAGATGTCAGGTTAGGTTGGAAATCAGCTTTGGTTTTTCCAAACAATCATGAAAAGGGTTGTCATAGGATGATCGGTGATCCACTTTAGCATCTATAGTACATTCTGCAATCAATAATTCTAAGAATGGTGCTAAAGAGTAGTAAGATAAAAAGCCAAATTTTTGAAATATTTTTGTCCCTTTCTTGACTCAATAAAACCAATTTTTGAAAACTTTTTAAAGAGATCAAAAAGGTAAATTAGCATCAATAATTCCACTCCCCCCAGACTTAAATCATACACTGTCCTCAGTGTATAACCAGTCAGAATTAGAGCATAAGAAATAATAAATATATAACTGATATCGAAATTGTGAACGATATACCTGACCGATGTTCGTATCGATCGATGGTGAGTCATTTCCATCGATCGTCATGGATAGGGTTATGTCGGGCGATGTAGACAGGGTCTCATCGGTCGATAGAGGTAGTGATCGTGTAGCTATATTCCTAAAAACAAATAAAAACGAAATTAATAAGTAAAATAAAATAAAATTAAGTAAGAAAACACCTAACAGTGGGTTGCCTCCCACTTAGCGCTTAGTTAAAGTCATTTAGCTTGACTATGGAGGTATGGTGGCTAGTGAGGTGAGTTGCAGGTACTTGTTGGGAAACAAGTATCCTCCTTGTCTTGTGATTCTTCAAACCATGAAGTTAAGAAGCTTCTTGTGGCTTTCTCGCTTTTGGTCATACTAGCTTGCAACCTTGGACCTCATAGTGGATTCTCTGTAACCACTCCTCAATGCTTGATAAACTGCACTCATGTCGTCCAGTGTTGCTGTAGGTGCGCTCTAGATCAGTACTCATTGGCATGGTGTTGAGGTTTTGGGCGTGGTGCACAGGCGTAAGGGTGATATCAATCGATCTTGGTGTAGTCCTGTTGATCGATGTGGATGGATGTCCATTGGTTGATTGGTTTAGAGGCTCGTCGATCGATGCGGATTGTGCAGGTTGGCTCGCGAGCTGATTCTTGATGTTTTCGATCTTCTGCTGAATATCCTCTACTGAGCATTGCGATCCCTTAACGTCACTCTGTACCGGGAACCAAAATTTTTCAAGTGATCTATGTGCGTCCTCTTCAAAGAATTCAATAGATCTGTAGATATCTCTTGTGATTTCTTCAAGTTCTTCTTTGGTACAGTAGTCTGGTGCGTGAATATCGATCGATGTGCTGGGTATATTATCGATCGATAGCTTCTGGAAGTCACTCTCGATATGGATGATGTCACCACCGATGCTTCTTGCATATCCACTCTCATCTCTGTAGACACCAAATTTGTCTTTCTTTTCCCAGAAGAAACGACGAACTCCGTGTTTGAAAGCTCTCTTCCCAAACTCGCAATGTATCTCGGTTGATGCTCTCTTCCAGGTATCGATCGATAGGGGTTGAGATTCTGGATTTTCTGAGTTGGAATGAAGGTTTTCTGCACCATCTTGCTCATGAAGTGTGTGTGGTTGGTGCTGATCGTTCTGGTAGATGGGTGGTTGTATTTAGGGACTGATTGGTCCATTGGCCATCTGAAGGATGTCTGCAACGTCTTCTTTGGATATTGGAATAATTCTTACATCTAGTGCTCGTGCATGACATTCTGGATCCCTAAAAATACCATATTCATCCGGAGTTAGTAATGTAAAATCGATTTTATGTGTTTTTACCTCGGATGGTGTAGAGGTTGTATCGATCGATGGTAGAGCAGGTGCATCGGTTGATTGGTTTAAGAACATGTCGGTCGATGGCTTGTGGTCCGTGTCGGTCGATACGTGTGCATCTGGCTGGATCGCGGATGGTAGTGGTGTTGTATCTACTGCAAAACTCTCATTGTAACTGCTCGCCCAATTTCCAATCGAGTAATCTCTGTCTCGTGGCTCATGTGGGGTATAGACTGATGCACAGTTGGTTCGTCGCTCGTTGATTCAAAAGGTCGTTTGAGAGATCTGGGTAGGGGCATATCGGTCGATAGAGAAGGTCTCTATCGGTTGATGGTCCAAAGATGAAGGATGGGAGAGGAAGTCTGATTTCGTCTTCTCTAAAAAATCTAAACTCGGTGGCTCGTTCCTCTTCATAATCTTCATCATACTCCTCCTGAGTAGTGATGCTAGCTAGCTCGGGCATTTAATGATTGTTCTCCCAATCATTGGTGCCAAAATCGCCGTCTGGAAACTCTTACTCGTTCTTTTGGAATAGGTTGTCGATCGATGACCATGTGTATTCATCGGTCGATTCGGGTTGACTGGTATCGGTCGATGGTTGAAGACTTCCATCGGTTGATACCAATGAATCGGTTTCGTACTCGGCCATGGAATCATACTCGTGGGCACAGAAACATGTTGCGACGAGTGCTGGGTTCTTCATCCTTGGAAACTTAATGACTGGAAAAGGGTTGTAGTGGATGGTAGGGTTGATGAGGGTTAGACATAGCTTGTTGGATTTGAGATCACAAACGGCGCCAACTGTGGCTAAGAATGCTCTTCCAAGTAGTAGAGAAGTCTTGAAGTTGAGCTTGTTGGCTAGGACATGGAAGTCTGTAGGAATTAGGGAATCTCCAATCTTTAACTCAAGGTTTCTAACTATTCCTCCAAAGTTCTGCTGAGAACAATCCACAAAGACGAAGAATTCTTCAGTAGGCTCTATTGTCAGACCTAGCTGGTCTACCATAAGCTTGGGTAGGATGCTAACTCCAGATCCTGTATCACATAGGGCACGAGGGAACTCAACACCTCTGATGGAACATGGTATTGTGAACTTCCTTGGATCGCTCTTCTTCTCTAGTGTGATCTTCTTCTTTAGACTGTCTCTGACTTGGTGAAACATTCTCTTGATGTCTTCTTCTGTCTCTCTGGTCTCTC